CTTTTATCCTCGATTCGTTAAACTCAACAACGTTTGCGAAGGAAAAGTTTGAAGAACTTTCATAAAGCGAACTTAAATTATCTCGGACCATTTTCTCGCATGATCTCACCACATCAAGGATCTTATTATTACTAATCTTTTCTTTCTTTCTTTCTTTCTTTCTTCTACTTTCTTCTGTTTTTTTTTCTTTTTTTTTTTTTTTTTTTGAAATCTTTCCGCGAACGAACCGTCGATCGTTATGTGTTTATTTACATATGTACGTGTTATACATTATTGCGTACAATCCGATGTTTATAAACATCAAGTAAATGTTATTTATAAAACGAAAACATTATTTGTACATTGAAAATTTAGATTCAGTCGTATACATAACAAGGTTTCGATATCGTTCAAGTACGACGTTAATTTTCAATGTCAAAGCATCAAAGTATATCATTTTAAGTAAATGAAGCAAATCAAAATCCTTTATATTTTAAAGATTCTCAATACTCTTGTCGCATTAGTATCTACCTTTAATGAAGAAACGATTGGAACCTTCTCATTCATTCAGTCTCTCTCTCTCTCTCTCTCTCTCTTTCTCTCTCTCTCTCTTTCTTCCTCTATTCATCTCTTTTAGTATAACGCCAGAGCAAACGCGACAGGAAGGTGGATCGCGTTGGAGAACCATTGTCTTTCGTCCTCTGGCCCGTCGCGTGGCATATTAATTAATCTGGTGATTATTAAACTAATTGCCAGCGTAATTGGTACGCCAAGAACCCATCTACTGTTCCGAACAGAGATAGAAAGTGAAGAAGATAGAATAAAAGAAAAGAGAAAGAAAGAATGATCAAATTAAAAAGAAAGATAAAGACTATATATAAAGAAAGAAAGAGAGAGAAAGAGAGAGAGAGAGAGAGAGAGAGAGAGAGAGAGAGAGAGAAGGTAAGCAAAATGCTTGTCTTCAGAATTTTCGAATCGGATGGATGGAATAAAAAAGAGATAAAAAAAGTAAAATAATTTCTCGTTGGCTAATATAATAATTATATTCCGAGTTTTCTTCTCTTTCAAGTAAAACAATTAATTATGAACGGTAATCGATGCAACGATCATTATCCTCACCAAACTAGTACTTAACTCGTAAAATAAAGAGTATAATATTTAATGCATAACTTTTAATAAGTTTATAGTTTTACTTTACTAATAGTGGAATTAAGTTTAATGCCGAATATGATCTACTTCGAACTTCGTTTAAGTACTTTGAACGGAACGTGAATGTGTAATTATCACGATTATCGAGAATAAAGTGAACACAGGAAATTGAGCAAGTAAATAACATGCATACATACATACGAGAATATAAATGAACGTCAGAAAGAGATAGTAAAACGAGAACGCTCTTTGTCCTTTTAATCCGAGAATTTTTTGTATAATACACAATTGCGAAAAACGTAATAATTTTTTTGACATTATTTTGTATAAAAATATTCTAAAAAATAATGTAGATCCATATTACGTAGCGTATTTCGTCATAGACAAAATGATAAAAAAGAAAAAAAAAAAAGGAAAAAAAGAAAGGAAAGATTAATTTAACGAACGACGATGATGAATCAACTCTTTTTTTTCTATTTTTCTCTCTCTGTTTTTTTTTCTTGTTTTTCTTTTTTTTTAATTTTTTTTTATTTATTTATTTTTCATTAATAACAGTTATTTTAAATAACAGGCAAATGTAGAAAAAAAAATCTTTTGTATCAATTTTCACATATTCGATAACACTTTTTTTCTTATTTTATTGCAAACCAATAAAATAAATACTGCACAATGTGTTATACAGTAGAAATCAGGAATACATACTGCTCTCGGTTGAGTCTACAATATTTGCTAGTTTCGACAATTACGTTAATTGGAAAACGACTTGATGCAGAAGAGTCTAATGCTTATAGCTGTTAATACAAACGATATATTGCATTAGATACATAATGTGTTTGTATACATACAGTTTCGTGTACAAGTTATTATTTATCTTGATCATTACAACGCTAATTGAATTGTAATATATAAATAATCACGGAGGAGATATATATATATATATATATATATATGAATGAGTTGTATTGCGTTCATAATATCTTCTATAGAAGATAATGGCCGAGATGATAAATAAAACGTATTAACCATTTTTGTATTTTTGAGTGACGTGTAAACATCATTCTTGGGGGGTGGTTGGCAGGTTTATTAATTTATCAAAATGAACTTCCAAATATAGTATATGTTTCCGTACACCCTAAGGACTTTGTAACGGAGCTAAAGCTGGAAGGGGGTGGACCCTATTGTATCGCAGTTAACTACCGCCTGTACTAACACAAAGGTCCTGAAAAGGCAACGAATTATTTAAAAACTCTCGTTATTGTTCCGCGAAGCCTCTGGTCAAATTACCACCAAACCATAGGGAATTCAGTGTAGTATCATCATAAGAATGGGCCACTGTACTAGTAAATACGGTATCACGAAAGAAACCTATTATAAAAGCCTCTTTATCTTCTATCCTTTTGTTTTGGAAAATTCTGCTGTTGGTTATTATCGAATCACAAAGTACGGAAGCATTTATAAACAGTAAAAGTGCCTTTGGTTAATTATTGCAGAGCAATTATTCTGTATCTTTGTCTATTCGCTAAGACGAAAATACGACCGATTGGGATTATAACGTTGTATCAACGAGAAATAATGAAATAATATAATTACGTTCTTATTTACACTTTTTCGAATAATTATATGTCTTACGTAGATATAAACGCGTTTGTCTATGTACATTGCCAATAATTTAACTATGAAACGATATGAAATTGGGACGGGGAGGGGGATAATTTTTTTTACTTTTATATTCTCGGCAAAAGCGAGAAAAAATATCGGGGTGAAAAGATCTTAACGAAAAGTGTTATGAACGTATAAATAATTCAACAAAGTTTCAACCAATTTTCTTGTCGAATAACAAGCAAAAAATATTTTGCATTCTATCGATCGCTATAGAACACCAACCGGAAAAGATCTTAATGAATGTTTGCTGCAACACAACCTCTCTCAACTCTCGGACCAACATTTCGTTCCACCGTTCGTTGGTCTTTCCCTCTTTTGCATTTTATACTCTGCGCAACACGCTTCGACCCGTTGAATACACGATTTCGACGGCGATAATTACACGTACGGTTGGTTAAACGAATATTTTTAATTACGACGATGTTTGCGGCAATCGCTGAATGACGATTGGTCCACAATAAATGCATTAATATTCTTCCATCGTACTATCGATCGAAGTAAATGATTATGAATAAAAATTCATTTTATTTTTAATCCTATATTTCTTTCCTTTTCTCTCATATTTTGATTTTTCATTCGATCATCCTACGAATATTTTCGTATAAGATTGAATTCATTAATTGTCAATCATATCTAAACGAACGTTCGAACGTGCGACATTTGAAGTTAACAAAGTGAAATATAAAAATAAGAGGCATTCATTTTATCAATAAATCTGATATTGTTATTGATATTTGTTAATATTTTTTTTTCTTTTTTTTTTCTTTTTTTTCTTTTTCTCTTTTTTTTTCTTTTTCTTTTTATCTTTTACTCTTCGTACATTGATGTTTATTAATCGAGATCTAAAGCTTTCTAATTTCATTATAGGAAATTTCCGCATATTGAATTTTTCCAAAACGAGGGATGGAAATAATTCTCACAAGTGGGGCGATACGCTTGAAAAAGTAGCTCGAGTAGGTCTCGTTAAAATTTTCAATTCGCAGAAAAACGCGGATGCAATCATTCACGAACTAACCGTATTTTCGTTTCCACATTTGCATCGGTCAGTGCGTTTTAGTAAACGTTATAATATTGTAGTAGGAGCTTTATGCTCGAACGCCTATCACCGATCTCGGTCGGTTTAACATAAACGTTTTCAAGAGATTCTGCGATCGTATAACGGATTAATAATGGAAACATTTACAAAATAATAACGTAAAAGCATCTACAAAAGTCTACGTGTACGTAGTAAAATAAAATAAAATATTCTGTCGCACGTACTACTTGTGTAGGATTCTCATTAACCTATTTGTTTAATGTTTTTTTTTTCACTTTTTTACCTTGTACTCGTAAGGAGTATAAATAATTGTCATGCGAAGAAGGACATTTTCAAAGAAATAAGAAAGAAAAATGTAAAATATTATATAAGATTTTACGAGAAAAATAATTAACGAATTTAATCGATTATTAAATCAATTTTAACATTGCCAATTTGAAATGACACAAGAAATTAAATTCGATCAATTATTATAATCCTCGAAACGTAGACGAATTTAAAGACATTTAAATCATAAATATGATTCAAGATAATAATAACGATGATTATGAAAGTGTTTTAAATCGTACGTTATTCGTAGTTTTAAGATATTTTGATTAATATAATTAAAATTATTTTATACATTTGAAAAATTATTGTTCATTATAATGACAAGCAAGAAAAAGATAAATGGATAGGTTTATTCTTGAGAAATAATCTTTTCATGTAATTTTAATTGCAATCAATTGAAATCAGAAATTGGACATTAATCGTAAGTTAAAAGCATTGCTGCAATTTAACATATGTAGATTACTTTCCTAATTACCTTTATAATTTATGTTTATATATATGAAATTATCAATAAAAATTATATCGAAATGATGATTAATATCTAACGTTGAATGTTATTGTATCGAGCGTCGTTTCAAATATTAAATATGAATAATTTGAAAGAAATATATGGAAACAAGGTATTTATTGAAATATTGAGTAACATAATGTTTCGTATGAACGAACGTACAGGGATTATAGTCGTAAATATCGTTTTATTAAAAGATCGTCTAGAGTAACGATCGTTCGAATTGTTGCACCGCATGTTATTGAAAGGATTTTCACGAGTTGACTCAGAACAAATTCGGCTATATTTTTCACGCACGAGCTGATAATAATTCTCGCATGTTATCGATTATTTCAG